AGCAAAGCCCCTTTACACAATGGCACCCAACAAGGAAGCATCCTGTCGCCGTCACTTTTTAACTTAGTGATTGTTGACATTTTCCCTTAGTCTCCCAAAATGTATGTGCAGACAAAAGCGCTTATGAATTTCACTTTGGACAACATCTACATACATATCACAAGCTCAAACACAAATTCAACCCGTACTAAATCAAAATTGGTATTCCAATGGTTATTCAAAACACTAAGAGACCAATGGCTTATCACACTGCTAAACATAACTGCTTAAACACTTACACAAGCCAAACTGGACAACGCTGCTCCAGTTCTCAACACTCACTCAGAAACATAAAGATATTAAATTTAATCTAATATAAAGCCCTAAAAATAGCGTTGGGGACAAGAACTGGTACCTAAACAATCTACTAATACTTTAAAGCTCTACCCCCACCCCAGCAGGCGTGACCAAATCAGTCTAAACTACTGCGCTGGGGCACAACACAACACAATTTACCAACTTATAACACATATACACCTAAACACACAAGACCAGAAACACTTAAGCAGTTCAAAATAAGTCCCTACCTATCCCCCCTACACAAAGGACTACACACCTACAAACTCACAAAGAAGATAACATCCTACATGCATCACTACCCAATAAATACAATAAATGACAAACCGAAACCTCACACGCAGACACATTTCAATTACACCGCAAACTTGGCAACACTGAAAAGAAAACTGTCACTCAACTACCTGTAACAAATTTAAACGTAGCCACACTACACCCACACTGACACAGATGCATCTCAAAACACAAACAATACTACCGGCATAGGTATCCATGTACAACATCCCGTTATAAATCACGACTAATTACCAGGGGAAAAAAACTCACTACAAGCTTAGTCAATACATATTATATATAATATATGTATAATATTGCACTTAGTAAATAATGAGAAGAAGATTCTTGGAAAGATGGATCTCTACTAACCGATTAGTAAATTGTACTAATCTATGACAGGCCGACTACTAGTCAAATTAGCAAATATTTACTGGCTGTTAGTAAAATCTATCATGTTAGTGTGGGAAGTGTAGTTCACTGACTAAGGAAGTTATCTTGACTATTTCTGTCGGTGAAGAAGTAGCCCTGAAACGTTGAAAAGAATAAATAAGTCGTTATCTATAACAGTTTCATATTATACACACAACGAAGAAGGTTAAGCACACCCAGATATATTTCATTTTTGTTTGGTCCCAATATTTGTAACAATCATGAAAGATATAATTACGAGAAGAATTATGTTTTCTCGAGATGATGTAATCAGTCATGCGTGGTATGCCCATGCAGCATGCTACCCTTTAGTATATCTAAAAGCAGTATATCCAAACGTTAAAATTGCTTTTTTAAGCTCGGCTTTAATCAGTTATTTCATGACATTGTGTGACCATGCCGATAAGTCGAGAAACATGCTCAGATCGCTAATGTAAGGACCGTCCCAGATCCGGAAGACCTCCTGGGACGACACATCGCGAAGACAGGGACCATCTTCTTCACATACGCCGAGAACCCTTTTTAACAAGTTCTCGTTTGAAACAGCTGTGGTTGCCCAATCGTCGTTTCAGCACCAGAACCGTCAGGAACCGGCTGAAAGCAGCAGAACTGAGAGCTAGACGAGTCATAAAACGTCCCTTGTTGAGAGATCACCACAAAGCTGCTCGTTTAGCATGGTGTATTGTGCGACAAAACTGGAATCTGAGAACTTGGAGACTGATCCATTCATTGGTCAGACGAAAGTCGCTTTCTGCTCCACGTCACTGATGGAAGAACTAGAGTTTAGGGGAATTGGAACACGTCCTACATCCCAGGAACATTAAACCGACTGTTGCATACGACGGGGGCTCGGTAATGGTTTGAGGGTGTATCTTTCATGACTGCAGGTTGGATTTGGTCACCATAAGGGGAAACCTAACAGGGGGTCAGAACATCCGGGACGTTTTAAGGCCAGTCGTCTTTCCTCATTTTGACAACCACCCTCTTCCTACTCCACCTCAGTACATGGATGACAATACCTGCATCGTTCGCATGCAGTCGTGGATTACATGAGGGCCAATGTCATAACGACTCTTCCCTGGCCAGCAATGAGCCCAGATTTGAACCCCCTTGAACATGTTTGGGATATTCTGGGGCGGCTCATACAGGAACGAGATCCTCCTGTACAAGATTTACGCCAATTGTAAGCAGCATTGCATCAGGAGTGGTTGTTGTTGAGCCATCAACAGATCCAACGTCTGACTGGAGGCATGAGATATAGGGTGGAATGCGTCATCCGAGCACGTGGCGGTTATACCCGCTACTGATCTGTTTCACGTGTCATGTCAAGTAGAGACTTTAAGGAACATTTTCATATCAAAAGTTACTCGTTTACTTAATCCTGCAGCTCCATACTTTTTTAGGTATTGTCGTAGGTCAAAAACAGTACCTGTGTTACTAACCATGATGTTTTTGGCAGTAAATTTCAATCACAACGCACCAATATCTTCTTTATTTGTTGTGAAATGTTTGTTCTATCCGATGACATTGGTATCGCCCAGCTCCTGTGGGCAATCATCCCATGCCATGATTTTTGCCATTTGTCATGGTTCAGAAATAGGGGTGTGCTTAACTTTTTACTTTGTGTATATATGCATTCCTACACACGCACAGAAGAATATTAATAGTAGATATGTCTATGCAGCTTCAAGGGTTGTGCAAGGTGGTGAGATAAATAATGATTTGATATTTTAAGGGACATATAGTTACATATATTCACATTATCTACTTTCTTTTCAACGCAAAACTCGTGGGTAGGTCGTTTAACGAAAACAATGTATCTTTGCATGTACAAAAGTCTAACTGTCCCGCGGAAGTTGGTTGTATCTACAACTGAGACACTGCAGCACTGACATCTGTCAAAGTACCTATAGTTGTGTGTCAGTCTGTCAGTACTAGGCCTGCTGTCATTTTATATCATATGCGTGATTCCTGAATTTTGTTGAAAATGTAACAAACACTTACATTCGCAAGCGTCCCGTCCAGACACAGTGTTTCAGACACAACATTAACTTTCACGAGGACATAATTATCTCGCTTTTCTGATGAATTTCACGTACAAATAATGTACGTCACATTCTTACCTACGTGCTTGGATTCTATGTATGTACACAAAATATATTTTATGCATTAAAATAGTAGGTATTAGTAGTATATGGCACTGGGCAAACATATCGTCATATTACAGATACATGACGGGTACTTCGCAAGGGATTCACATTATCAAAGCGTAAATCTGAGAGATGTCTTTTCCCGTGTCAGCGGGCATCTCATCTTAAATAACTTGAAAGAAACCGGTCTGTATAATACATTTTAAATATGTATGTGAATAGTTAAATGCTTGTTTTTAAATTTGGTGTGATGCTATTATCAACTCACATCATTGAAGGCTCCGTCCAGGGGATTAAAGTATCGTAAAAGTATTGTCCCCCCCATATCATAATCGATGTAACTTTCATCAACCAGTGTTTTATACACAGAATACAATCTCAAGAGGGATGGTTGGCACGGTTGGCCGAGTCGCTTCGTCCCGTTTATATTTTTTGTTTTCAGCACCATACCCGTGCTCGTGGGTTTCACCGAAGTGGTAAACGTCCGAGACCTGCATCACTTCGGGTTTCCCTCCCACAGTAAGCTGACACGCCGTGATATAACGAGAAAACTTTTCGAAGCGGCGGTAGAACCCAACTCACACAATAACTTGAGTGTGATAAATTCATTATGAGTCATTTTTCCATGTATGTGTATCATATATACTGTACGCAAACTGTCACACACATTTCGACGTTTATCCTTTTCACGAATAAAAAACGATATGTCAATGGCTCCTTATGCTTTGCTAGTGTTTTCATTCACTACTGTAGACCGTTGATGAAGCGTTTATTATATTTAATTACCAGTTAGAAATGTGTTCGTTTTGTGATAATATCGCATCCTACACGTGTTCGCAATACGTTACTAAACACATTAATGAAGCATTATCTGGATATAACGTTTTCAATGACGGATAATTAGAATGCGCTCCACATTTGACGCTTCAGTGACAAAAACGATGTCTGATGATATTCCCTATTTTGACTTGTACCACGAGTTTAGCGTTGAAAAGAAAGTAGATAATGTGACTACATGTAACTATATGTCCCTTAAAATATCAATTCATTATTTATCTCACCACCTAGCACAACCCCTAAAGCAGCATAGGCATATCTGCTAAATATTATTCTGTGAGTGTGTAGGAATGCATATATATTGGTGAGTTGTGATTGATATTTACTGCCAAAAACATCATGGTAATACAGGTACTGTTTTTGACCTTAGACAATACCTAAAAAAGTATGGAGCTGCAGGATTAAGTAAACGAGTTACGTTTGATACGAAAATGTTCCTTAAAGTTTACAGACGCATACAATGTTTTGCCTCCGATTCACAGATGGCAGAAAATGTTGTTGGCTACGTAGCGGCGAGCGGTATGCCAGGGCAACCATTCTTGATCATGATCGGTATGGGGGCCGTAGTGCCACGGTGTAGGGCGGTATTACACATGACAACCGCACTGATGTGGTTGTAGTGAATAGACATTTGACTGGCAAGCAATAAACTGACGACATTTTGCTTCCTGTTGCCATTCCGTTCCCGACTGTATTGATATTTCACTGAACCACGACATGATTACTTTCTCATTGCACGTTATAATAGTGAGTGGGAAAGTTTATTTGTATGCCTCTTCATGCAATATTCAGCAATATTACGCATAGGACATCAGAAATGGGCTTCACGCATTGCGATCCTGTTTGGGAATCGAACTGAAGTCTTCAGCGTGAGCAGTGAATGCTCTGACCCAAGGTTACCCCGACGCGCTCTGTTTGTTTATATATAAAGTGTGGTTTGAAAGTAAAGGAGTAAGAAAAGACACATATAACACTGTTTTTATTGAGTCGGTATTCGTAAAGATGCAAACTGGCATGTTCATTTTTTACAGACGTATCCGAACAAAGTGCGAATCATGGTATTTATCAATTTTTCACCTGGATGAACATCAGGACTCTCTACAGAAAGAAGCATTTCCCAAAAGTCGAGGTATATGACACGGTCATAAAGGCCTACAAACTCTTCTCTGATAATTTTATCATATACGGGGCCCCACATTCTACCAAATGTATAAATTATGCTGTTTAATACAAAATAGTGGGGTCCTTTTATAGCGATTTTTATATCTGGCGCCCGTTCCAATAATCGCTGTACTGCTGGTCTAATGCGTTTTATTTGAGATCTAAACATGTGTACTGGATAGAAGAGAAAATGAGCATATAGATGAATGAGCACAATGTCTCTAGAACCAGAAGGTATCTCATCGAGATGAACAAAGGATGGTCGGAGGGCAGTTCTATTGGCATTGTTAAAAGTCATTGGTAGACCATGGGGGGCCCAAAAGATGGTATAGTTGAAACCTTTTTTGTATGCTTCGGAATAGGAATACCAATTGCCTGTTGGTTGAAGGTTCTCTGTTATTTGCCATGGTCCTACTCTCCAAGTAAGATTCAGATGTTTGTAGAAGAAAGAAAACCACTGTCTGACAGTCGAATCACCAAACATTCGAAGAGTTCTGTTGGCTAGACAAAGGTCATAGTCTTCCACAGTTACGTCATTGAAACACAACAAGGGGCGCCACGTAGAGTTGTAAAAGAAACCAACAGGTTTCGACACCCAAGAATTCCGAACGCTTGACCTGCTACACGGAACCGTTGCCGGCAGTGTTGTGTTTTGCACTGAAACATTAAGGTACATTTAGACATGCATTGTGATAAAATTATTTTGATTTGTACGTTAGGTCACAGACAAACAACTATACGTCGTATCTTGTGTTTTCCTGGCCTGCTTAAAGTTGCCGTACTTACTACCCTATAACATCCTACAGCTTGGGGAAGTAAACAGACACGAAAAAGGAGAGTGAAGAGGTTCGGGAGGGAGCGTGGGGTTGGCTGAGGGGTTATGGGTAAAACATATTACTGGCAAACACACTGGGTGATAGACTTATTTCCATACGTACTAGCATTAAAAGGAATAACAGCCTTTATTTGCTCACTCAAAAATCAAGAGATGCTGTGGACTTTCATCTTATATCAAATGACTAACCTCAGAATATAATTTCAGAGACTATATATCAGTTTAGCAAACCAGCTAAAGAACATGCTGACATACCAGTAGGAATCTTGACTGTGACAATGTCTGGAAGAATCCCTGGGCCGGATGATCTGAAATTATCAATTATGATTTGTTTCTAGCAATATATACTAGTGTCTAACAGTAAGACTATTATGATAGGTCATGCTGGTCAATTAGTCAGGCTTGTTGTAAACTTGGTTGATTACATTTGATTGTACACGGCGGCATTGTTCGGGGCTTGTAATAATAATTACTTTATGGACTCAATAATTAGAGATCGCTGTCTACTTTCTGTAATGTTGCTGAGTAATAAACAATAACAATAAACACATCAACAACAAATGCATCTCTATTCATGAATTAATCTACTTAAATACTTACAGTAGCAATGGGTCTAATTTCACTTCGTGGCGAGCAAATATTCATGCAGCTCTAGCCCTTGGAGGTACAGCTTTTGAGGTACCATGGAACATGTTCTTTCTACCAAGATTTCAAAGAGCGTCTTACAACTCTTGCTCTGAAGTTGTTTTATCAAAGTTACAACAATCGAGGTCTCAGTAAAGCTTTCTCAAAGTTTTATGGTAGATATGTGGAGGACATTTCCACATTTGAAGCATCACTGTCTAAATGGCGCCCGATGCAATTCCCTACAATGATTAGTACCATATGAGTTTTTTGTTTACAGGTAAAAAAGTGGCTTGCCTTTGCACGTGTTTGTGACGGGTGCCACCGGTGGGGCAGGTACTCACCTTTTCGTGAACACCTGGTATCATCTCTGTTTGGTCGTGATTCATACACACATGCTCATCATAAAGTCGACTCTGCTTTTGGTAGTAATTTCTTAAGAATGTGGAAAGGGTTTTGTTGCTTTAATTAATAATTTATACTTACGACAAGTACCATTTGCTGTTTGGCCTTGCACTCACTGCTAGATATCCCATTGAGTTGACCCCTGTCCAGTGGCTGCATTGAACTCCTTTCTTCTTGGGTTTGTCACAATACAGCGGAACACCATAATGCTTGTCTGTTAAATTACAAACTTCCATTTTGTTCACAAATTTGCTTTCCATGTGCCCCGAACTCGTCTCTGTTAATCCAGGTGTATTAAATAAGCATATCAGAATCTTACCACCATATCCATGTCTAAATTCCCTGTTTACAAAAGCCATTTTTTCTCTTGGAGCCAACATTGCTGCACGGATGACAGCTTGTCCTGTCCACAAGATCCGCAGAACACCAGTATAGGTCCCGTTGCCATGGTCAATAACAGTTCCGGCTGAAGCAGCTCCTTTGCTTTTGTCTCGCATCCATACAATAAGCATATCGCCACCTCGGGTTTTTGTTCTATTCTTGTGGTCAAATAGTTCGATTTTAACACGGATTGTTCCATTAAGTGTATACACAATTTTAGGGTTAATAATTGACATCTTAGAGGTTGTTGAAGATGCATGACTATTTACGTCATCGATTTCGGCATCACTGACCACATAGCTTTCTGGAACGATTTGTGTTTCAATTACATGGCTTTGCTTATGGCTCTGCTTTTGGCTTCTAGCGATTGAAGGGTAAGGCTGTGGTGACATTTGAAACCTGCAAGATAATATGCATAGTTTAACATTGTTTCACCTTTTAGTTATATTTAGGTATATGCAACACAACACAACACAGTTAAACGTTTTTAAAAAAGGTTGTTTTTTTCCTGAACGCCCAAATCAGCAATATTCCAGCTTTATGGCGGCAGTGTGTTAATGATCATGTCTGGACCGGACAATCCGGTGATTGACATCATGAGCATCGATCCACGCAATTGGGATACGGTGACAGGCATCACCCAAGTCATCGCGCCTGACCACCCGATCCCGGTAAAGTCCGTCGTGATCAGATTAGGTAACTAAACATTCATTCTACATGCGAAGGTATCGATCTCAGGCAAAGACATTTCTGCTCTGCTAAGGCTTCTAGTCAACTTGGAAACGCTGGTTAAAATTTCGGATTGAGGTTCATTTGACATATGGCCCTTGAAGATACGGCGTGGAATAGGTCTTCAGCAACCCATGCTTGCCGTAAAAGGTGACTATGCTTGTAGATGCTCATGTTGTCAATCACAGGATTGTCTGGTCCAGACTCGATTATTTACATACCGCCGTCATATAGCTGGAATATTGCGAGCCTGACCACCCGATCCCGTTAGTCGCCTCATACGCAAGTACTGTTAATGTATAGTGGTATGTTTTTGTCTGGCAACACACTAGTCCAATTCCTAATCTGTTATAATCTGGTATTGCCCTTCCTTGTGTCGACAGATGTTTCATAATGCATACCTCGAGGCGCTCATTTTAGTTTGAAACAATAAAGTAGATTGTACTCTTAGACAGATATTTTCTGTATTCCAGGCCCAGGGCACGACGTGACGCAGCTTCTTCTATGAGGACAAGCATTTCAGTAACTCACAATGACACAATTTTCACCCTACTTGATCACTGTTAATAAAACAGTTGTTTTCGGACACGTGAAGATTTCGGGTCTTCAGCAACCCATACTTGCCGTAACAGGCGACTATGCTTGTCGTAAAGGCGACTAACGGGATCGGGTGGTCAGGCTCGCTGACTTGGTTGATACATGTCATCGATCCCAATTGCGTGGATTGATGATCATGCTGTCAATCACTGGATTGTCTGGTCCAGACTCGATTATTTTACAGACCGCCGTCATATAGCTGGAATATTGGTGAGTGCGGCGTTAAACAACAAACAAGAAAGCAAGCAAGTTGTTTTCGCGAACATCCGGTATTATCACCAATTTTCGTGGATCCTTTAATAAAATTTTACCGCTATTTTGCCTTTTACGCGCAACGGAATATATATCAGCAGACAAGTTCGACTGACGGTATATTTAGTCAAGGATAAAGATACAAAGCTCCGGCACTGGCTTCTGAGTTGTATGATGGCTCTCGGGTATGCGTATGTACATCTCAGACACATCGGAACTATCGAAGCGTCTCAAAAGCTTTTGGAAATGTTCACATTTTCATTGAGTAAATATGCCAAGGATGTACTGATTACGTCCCCCTGAAAATGTATTCAATAAATGTGAACTTCATGCACTTCCATGTATGAATGACAGCTGGAACATCACTTTGTTAGTCAAAGTGGTTCCAGCCATGTGATGATCATATATGTAGCGAGGCAGTGGTGATGTATCTGATTTCAGCAACGTTCCTGTCAAGTTACCGCACCTCCATGGTGAGTCATATGCCCCTATTATGTTTGTTTGTGTCTTTGGTGTTCCACCCCTTACACAGCTCTATTCAGTTAAATGCGATGATATGTCAATACATATCGACAACCAGACAATCCAGTGACTAACATCATGATCATTGATCAACGCATCAGAGATACGATGACACGCGGGTAACTAAATCTGACCATCTGATTCATTTAGTCACCTCTTTTTAAATAAAATCAACTCATCGTTGTATTGCTGTTCCTGACTTTCAACAATTAACTTGTTGACTATGGGTGGCCAGGTTTGGTCTTGGCTGATTGCGTTTATGCCTGGCTGTCTTAGTCCAGGATAGGTTGCTGGGGACCTATTTCTATCTTAAACTTGAATTTAATCGTACTTACTTGTCAAAGCCACTCCATGAGAAAAACAAAGCTGCGACCATCAGCACAACTAAAAGACTGCAACATCTCTGAAGTGGAAAACTGGACATCTGAAACAAAATGTTAAATGTAAACTTCAAGATGCAACTGAATAAGAAATATGGCCATGGCACTGAATCTCACCTGGTAGGTGGTCAACAGCTAAGGGGACGGTCGGGTAGCCTAGTGGTTAAAGCGTTCGCTCGTCACGCCAAAGACCCGGGTTCGATTCCCGACATGGGTACAATGTGTGAAGCCCATTTCTGGTGTCCCCCGCCTTGATATTGCTGGAATATTGCTAAAAGCGGCGTAAACCATACTCACTCACTCACTCAACAGCTAAGAATGTAAACAAGGAAAACCATTTTCCAAAAGCTGTTGTCAGGATTGATTTTCAAATATTTTCTGCATACATATTGTGTAAAATATTAACAAATATGAAACATGTAAATTTCAACAATGTTTCAAAATCTTCAAGAATTAATGTGCTACTGTATCAGATTGTTGCAATACAGAACAGGTAAATTCACTTCACACAGAGTGTCAACATTGACCCTTGTAATGTTCTAAAGAGATTAATTCCATCCAGTTTTTTCAAACTGCTTAACAAAAATATAAACACTAAAATCCTAATTACATAAACAAAATATTATGCCAGCATAAGAGAAACATATATACCAAAACTTCGGCCCCATCAATCTGCTAATATCAGAAATGATAACCGAGCCAAAAATGCGGTTTGGGAGAATGTAAGTGCATAACAGTACGTGAGCAGAACTGAGTAATGGTCAGACATGGGTTTTTAAACCTAGTTCAATGTTGGCCATATTGAAAAATCAAATTCGAACCTCTTGAATAAATTCTACTTGTCCAGTTTCTGAAGCGATGATGTTTCCAGTGCTTAAGACCCATGAAAATCCGGGGTAGAATAGGTCTTCAGCAACCGATGCTTGCCGTAAAAGGCGACTATGCTTGTCGTAAAAGGCGACTAACGGGATCGGGTGGTCAGGCTCGCTGACTTGGTTGGTGCATGTCATCGATCCCAATTGCGTGGATCGATGCTCATGATATTAATCACTGGATTGTCTGGTCCAGACACGATTATTTACAGACCGCCGTCATATAGCTGGAATATTGCTGAGTGCGGCGTAAAACAACTAACCAGCCAATCCAGAGCTTAAAGCGTATTTGGAAAGAACTAGGATCCTGGTACAAACAGTGCAAGTAATTCCATGTTGAGAGAATGCAGTGATATGGGCAAAGTGCAGCTGAAAGTGAAAAACTACTGCCAAAACATGTTGAGTTACGCTACTAACTACACATGTACAAAATGTCAGTACATTTTGTAACAGAATGGATGCTTAATACCCACAAGAAGCTTCAGTTTCAGTAGGGTCGAAGTGCCAAGGTACTAATAATGTCAAATTTAATATATATCGAAAAAAACCACGATTTGGTAATGGTCATGAACGATTTGTTTTCCAAACTCTTGAACAAGTACATGTCATCATTGATGGGAACATGAATGTGAAGTTTCAGTTTCATTGTTTTCTGAGAGATGACTCACCATTTGTTTGAAATTACCAATCTGGCAACTGTAGCTGTTAACTTATATCCAGGTGAACTACAATGTCGAGACACTATTATAGCTCCCCTTGCCATTTAAGATAATGCCTCGCCATGTTGCGCGTTGGCTTCGTCGGCGTCCATAAACTTATTATAATTTTGACGACTCCGAAATGCCTTGATGGGTTTGACTGACATTTGATGTGAAGTGTGTTCAATGCATCAAAACTGGAATTGCAATTAGGTCGCCAAGGTCAGAGGCCTGGAATGGTTTGTTCACCCCACCATGTCTGGAAATTGCCAACGCCAGTGGTCATATTGAAAACGTGTATATTATACATACAATGCATGTTTTTCACGATATTTTTAACGTTGACCTTGAACTAACCTTATATGGCAGCCATATTGAAAACATGTATGTTCCGTTTTCTTGTTGATTTTGTTTTGAGATATTTTGAATTTTGACCATAGTTTAACCTTTTCGCTTCGTACCTAATAAAAGCTGCAACTTCTTCTGGCCATTGCTAAGCCATTTTGTAATAAAGTTTGGTATTTGTTTACTTTGTTGCGGAAATCAACAGGTGTTCCTGACCCAGTTTTGACTGTCTATACATTACGCATGTCTATACTGACAACTCAAGTAGGGATGATTGGTTGTTAGTTCCGATTTATTAGGTGACCGATAAATACCCGTGTGTCCCACTATGTTTTCATTTGATCGCTTATATAAGTGTCGATTGTTAATTTAAAAAGTCATGTATTGGATATGAACTGGGGATGTGGACTTGTCACGATCTACTCTATCCCCAGAGCTGCATATATTATCGTCTTAAGGAGTTTGCTATATTTTGTACATCTTAGACAAAATATATTTGTATATGTTTAGTCTTTCCAGAGAATAAAGAAAGTTTATTATGTATTTGGTAATGAAATAATGTATATGCCTAAACATGTAACATAGATATATTTAACCAGTTAAATAACCCTCTAAGCAGGAACTACTTCAGGAACATACATTATAAAAGATCCTTTGTCTTTTCCTTTCAGATATCATGTCTATCAAATCGAGTGACATGACGCATTTTCCCACTTTCATGAATCCCGGAAGGTTGTAAAAGACTACTATACGTCCTATGATTATTGTATGAATACATTTATAAAATTTTAAAAACATTTATTGTTTTTTTCATTGAAATCATCCGGACTTATGCATTTGCCAGTTATTTTCATATGTATCTACAATGCATTTATGGATTCACGGCATTCGATGCTAGCTAGCATGTAAAAGACATGTGCCCTGATACAGTGGTCCCTCTACGTTTCACTTAGTGGGCCCTAATACAGTGGTCCCTCTACGTTTCACTTAATTGTGCCCTAATACAGTGGTCCCTTTTCATTTCACTTAGCTGTGCCCTGATACAGTGGTCCCTCTACGTTTCACATAGTTGTGCCCTAATACAGTGGTCCCTCTTCATTTCACTTAGCTGTGCCCTGATACAGTGGTCCCTCTACGTTTCACATAGTTGTGCCCTAATACAGTGGTCCCTCTTCATTTCACTTAGTTGTGCCCTGATGCAGTGGTCCCTCTACGTTTCACATAGTTGTGCCCTAATACAGTGGTCCCTCTTCATTTCACTTAGTTGTGCCCTGATGCAGTGGTCCCTCTACGTTTCACATAGTTGTGCCCTAATACAGTGGTCCCTCTTCATTTCACTTAGCTGTGCCCTGATACAGTGGTCCCTCTACGTTTCACATAGTTGTGCCCTAATACAGTGGTCCCTCTTCATTTCACTTAGCTGTGCCCTGATGCAGTAGTTCCTCTACGTTTCACTTAGTTGTGCCCTGATACAGTGGTCCCTCTTCATTCCACTTAGCTGTGCCCCGATACAGTGGTCCCTCTACGTTTCACTTAGCTGTGCCCTGATGCAGTAGTCCCTCTACGTTTCACATAGTTGTGCCCTGATGCAGAGGTCCCTCTTCATTTCACTTAGTTGTGCCCCGATACAGTGGTCCCTCTACGTTTCACTTAGTTGTGCCCTGATACAGTGGTCCCTCTTCATTTCACTTAGTTGTGCCCCGATACAGTGGTCCCTCTACGTTTCACATAGTTGTGCCCTGATGCAGAGGTCCCTCTTCATTTCACTTAGTTGTGCCCTGATACAGTGGTCCCTCTACGTTTCACTTAGTTGTGCCCTGATGCAGTGGTCCCTCTACGTTTCACTTAGTTGTGCTTGTTCGAAAATTGCTTTCATTATATATGTGACCTAATCCCTATGCAGTGCCTCTGCATTGATGGCGCAATAATTGTTTGTGAGCTTCCATGACCTTTGGAAGGGAGAATTTATTTTTCTGCTGGACTTTCAAATCCCCTACAGCCAAATCCTAACGTTGGCGGTTCACGGAGATGGCGTTGAATATCGGTCACGGAAAGGTTTGTTATGAATGAAGCTTTTCAAACCACTAATGCTAATGTGTATTTTACTTTAAATATTGTTATTAATGAGAAAAATACCTAACATGACCTTTAAAGTTATCAACGGTTATATCAACGTTATGCAAAAGATATACCTTCGTTAAGTGTGGTCATCGCACCATTAACAAATGACAGGGTAAGGCCTAGGACATCAAAATCGTCCCCAACATCATCCGCAATTCAACATTGTCGGTTCGTATTGGTAATGGTCAGCCATGTATAGATGTATTCATACGCACGTCTTTTCGTCAGTTTTGAAATTAAAGAGGATTCAATAGGAAAAAGATATTATTTTAAGCAATCAGAATCAAGCATTATTTAATGTCATGGTAGAACTGGTTATAAATAATATGAACCATAGTGTTGTTCAGGGCCACGTAATGATGGGCGTGAAACAATTAAAACGTACTACCATGCCTAGTACCGGGTATTATATTTGCATTATGTACACAATTCATGCACAGTAGAAATAACCAGGATGCCTTCTAGTGTTTCATTTTGTAACAAAAAGGTGGAGGATGGAATACCACCAGAAGCAATAATTTTATTCAGGGAGGACATTATTTAACCTCACTCCTCGTCAGCAAGTGGAGGAGGAACAAAACACAATCTAGTGAGCAGACAAGGCTACCGTGCATGCGTGTATGCATACACAGACTCTGCACAAGACAAAGACTATAGGAACGATGAACACGCCATGCAGTATCCATCCATATGTGACTAACATGAAGTACAACGCTCCTAGATACGAGTGTTAACTCTACTTACCTGGTGTGAATTGTTCTTCAAATCGTATGAATATCATTGATCTGAACCACAACAGATGGGCAACCCACAAATCAACTAATGTTTCTCTGGTGGAAGCCTAAGTGTCCTCCTGTTCCCTTTCGTCACCAGTGAGTCACCCTGATCGCATCACAATACTGAGGTAGGATATGTGACGATGCTATCCAATCACATAGCTTCAATACCATTGGTTTCACAGAGAGGCAGGTCCTATCAATTAGCAGAATATCAACCTCTAAGATATGA